TACAGTAATGGCATAATAGTAAATTCAATGATAAAGTAATGGCATAATGGTAAATTTAGTTATAAAATAAGAGTATAATGGCATAATGGTAAATTCAACATTAAAGTAAGGGTATAATGGTAAATTTGACGAAAAAGTAATACCGTCAGTATTAAAGTAACGGTGTTAACATCAAATGGCGAGTATGCACGCATATATTAAATTCAAGGGGGTGTGACTCAATTTTTGAAATAGAGAGGAATAATGCCCATATTTCATATAATACAGGGGAATTTGGTACAGTAACCCCAATATTTTCTTTCCAAACCATCTTCATGACCACAACATTATTAGAGGGACTATATGAACTTTCACCAATTTTTGCAGCACCGTATATTACAAACTTTTATATAACACGTCATTAATATGACACGTTTTTACTTAGTAATAATCGTACTGTTTCAATGAGAATCAACCCCATTACTTTATGCCACAAAGGTTCACACACCATTTCTCTTAGCAATGTTCGAAATTTTCGTCCAAAAATCAGCCTCAATACTTATGATGTGTTTACCATGTTCAATGAACTTTCACACTTTTCACTTATTAACACCAACTACATATCGATGCCAAGCTCATTACTTTAATTGTCAAACTAAAATCATTTGTGTTCTGTGCTTCTTTTTCTGCCTCTTTCTTCCATTCTTGAACTTCCGTTTGGGTGGTTTTGTAATTTTAGTACGCCCATTATAAACGTGACTAAAAGTAAACTCGTCATTCCTCTCTCTCTCTAACGGTCGACATTTCAAAAAGAAAAAAAAGAAAAAATAAAAAGAAAACTGATTTGTTCTCACTGTACCTTTCCCCAGCAAAACCCGCAGCTTGTTAATTCAAATTCTGTATTGGAATTCACTCGCGGAAATTGAATCACCCTCTTTCATTATTGTGCTCGAGACTGTCTTTGTAATTATTCCCTTAAAATTACAATAATTCAGGTACGCTCTTACCGGCGTTGTTGAATCGATGTTGGCTTTCTCATTTTCTCATTCTTATGGTATTTATTCGTTTGAAGAGAGTTTGCAAGATCTCCAATTTGTACGCATGAAACTTGCGCAGTTTTTCGAAAAAAAAACGATATAGTTGAGGATGAAGAGGACGATTGGGGAGAAAAAAAAAACAATAAAAATTGATCAATTATGATGTCAATTTTGAAGATAGAGGCGTTATGATTGTGTTATATGGATCTTGGTTTGAGTTTGCGATTGCTTAATTGATTTCTTTATAAAAAGAAAGCTTTTACTGTAAAGGGGGTGATGGTGAACTGAGCTAGGCCAGTCTTGGAAAATTGTTTTAGCCAATTATAGATTTTTTAAGATCTTTCTTGGGTTGATTTTTATTCATCTCTGTTGACAGACGAAGCTAATTTTTATTTTTATTTTTTTGATCAATTGAAGATTGTTCGAGGGCATTGAATTAGTTGTTGGTCTTATGAATAAAAACCTACTGTTCAGAATTTGCCTTAAAAGTTTGATCATGGCTGAGAATTTTGAAGATAAAATGTTGATTTCATAATAGCTTACTAATTCTTGTAACAGTGTCCAGCAGATAAGTGTTTGCAGTCCTCATCAGAGTGGATTCTAGGCAGGTAAAAATGTTAACAGAACAAAGAAATTGGCTTTGTCGAATGGAAGCATTATGCGGGTCTCTTTTACATGAATTGCAGGTATTATGCAAAGCCTTCAACTATCAACTGAGTTTGTTGTTTATTTCATATAGAACCCTTTTTTTTTTTTTTTTTCTTTTATCCATTACAAGTATGTTTTTATTAAATTCTTATGTCTTTCCCTTGCTTAGCGGATAATGTTACTTTACGGTTGTATCATCCTCACAAACTTGTAATTTGTCTTCATTTACGTTATATTATTAACCCTCTCAGATAATATGGAACGAGATTGGGGAATCTGATGCCGATAGAGAGAGGGTGTTGCTCGAGCTCGAACAAGAATGTTTAGAAGTATACAAAAGAAAAGTGGACCAAGCGAACATGTATAGAGGAAAAATGAAGCAAGAAATTGCTGATGCTGAAGCCGAGCTTGCTGCCATTTGTTCTACAATGGGAGAGACGCCTGTGCACATTAGACAGTCGGTCAGACTTGATCTTATTGCTAATCTTATTGGTTAATCAATTTCTTCATGGTTTTGAGTGTGTTAACTTAGACTTATTATGCTTAGTTTCTATCCTCAACTAATTGTTAACGTCGGAACTATCTAAAGCTTCTATTGATTTTAAACGTTTTATATTAACATGCAAAGCATCAGTATAACTTTATGCTCATTCTGATCATGAAATACAACAATTTAAAACATAGCTAGAGTTCATTGTTTCAAATACTCACTTAATGCATGTTTTTATTTTTAAAAAATTGCACAGTTGAGTACTTGTTAATAAAATACAGAACTCGAGGAAAATTTTTCAGTACCTTAAGGGGGTGTCCGTAATTTATACAGATAACTGATTCTTTTCTTGGTAAGTGAGATAAACCATACTGGCAGCCTTTGTAATTTACCCTGTAAACAATTTTTTTTAATGTCATTCCCTTAGGTAGAAATGTGAATAGCTAGATATGTCCCATAAGCTTTTGATGCACATTAGCTACAGAAAGCAAAATTGCCAAAAAGAAAAACGGAGGGTAAGGACTTCGATTTTGGGATACTCATTCAATTACTGATGGCAATGGATTTTCTTTGGCAGACTAATCCACACCGTGGAAATTTGAAGGATGAATTAAGGGCCATCCTTCCGCAGATAGAGGAGATGAGAAAGAGAAGGACTGATCGGAAAAATCAATTTATAGAGGTCTTAAATGAGATACAGTGTATTGAGAATGAAATCTATAGGTCAGATAGTTTAGCTTCAAATGACACAGCAATTGATGACTCTGATCTTTCAATAAAGAAGCTTGAAGAATTGCGCAAAGAACTGCAGGAGCTTCGGAAAGAAAAGGTCTTTTCTTCTCTCCATTTTTGCAGTCTTGGTTTTTCGAATTTTCGTGTTAATGATTCTTTTTATACTCTTTGATATATGTCCTTGAATTCCTTTTGCGTGTAGAGTGAACGCCTGAAGCTGGTGTTGGATGGTCTGAGTTGTTTATGTTCACTGTGTATAGTTCTCGGTTTGGACTTCACGAAAATTGTCGTTGAGATTCACCCGAGTTTAGCAGAAGCCGAAGGCTCGAAAAGTATCAGTAATGGTACTGTAGATAGACTGGGGACAGTCGTACAAGAACTAAGACTTCTTAAAATACAGCGAATGAAGGAGGTATTTTTTTCTAGATTATGGTTTTGTAACTGGTAAACGATGGAGTGTTTTCCATTATTGAAAGTGGTGTTTGTTAGCTTGTGGCTGAAAAAAAAAAAGAGTTGGTTTCTAGTGTTCACTTGATGATGACTGGTCATGTTGACAGTTACAAGATCTTGCGGCTTCATTGTTGGAGCTTTGGAACCTGATGGACACGCCAGCTGAAGAGCAACAGACATTTCAGAAAGTTACTTGTAAGCTAGTTGCTACAGAGGATGAGATAACTGAGCCCGGCATGCTTTCTGTCGACTTTATTAATTATGTGAGTCAACTGATTTCATTTGTTACACCCTGTTTGATTTTGCGTGTTAAAGTTCAAGTTATAATATTGGCGGTGGGTCATTGTTTTTCAATCTTCCAGGTCAAGAAAGAAGTGTCTCGCCTGGAAGAACTGAAAGCAAGCAAAATGAAGGAATTTGTTTTGAAGAAGAAGGCAGAGCTAGAAGCTATTTGTAGGATGACACGTCTTATTCCGGAAAAAGATAGTAACATGGAAGCAGCAATTGATGCTCTTGAATATGGTAGTTATTTACTAGTGTACAAGATATAACTACTTCACCAAATCTACATTCTGAGGTTGTCTAATTTTATAATAGTGAAAAAGAAGACTCAACTGCCCTCTGACCCTGGTTTCTCTTTTACAATTCGACCCTCAACAAGAGTATTTGTTTATGTAC